TTCCTTGATGTAGAGCAGGGAGCGTCCATAAGGCAATGATCACACAGTCTGCTTGGTGGGAAGAAGGAGTGCTGCTTGTTTTCTGATAATCACCTGGGGTTGGAGGGGTGAAAATCAGAAGGTTCCATCCCACAGTCCTCCCACTCCCATTTCCCAGTCCTGCAGCCAGAGAGAGTGGATTTTTGTTGGGGCTTTTTCTGTCTGGGCCCTTGGCAGTTCTGGTTTTCAGGTTGCTCTAGGATCCAGGCTGGGATACATATGGGGTAAAATAGAAAACCCAAGGAAGTTGCAGTCAACTACATTTCTCTTTAATCCTTACCTAGTCCACCTGTTTTTATTTACCTTTCACAGTCTTCTGATAGTTGTTTTATGCATTTTAGTCGAAGGTTTTTAATTGTGGGAGAGGTGATTAGTTTTATCTAGAAAAAGAGTCTCATTATCTGTTTTTATTAAAAAATAATCTTTATCACTTTGATAGGTGAAAAGTTGTTGCTTATTTTGTATTTTTATAATTTAAGGTAGAGCATGTTTTCATATATTAACCACTTTTAGTTTATACTTAGCTTAATTTGGGGATTTACTTAGCGCTTAATTTAAGAATAACTCTTAGACTTTTTTGATAGAATTTTTCTGCTTACTTTTTAACTCTTGTTTTAATTTTTTAATGGAGAAAAGTTTAAGATTTATATATAATCATCTGTAATTTCCTTTGTGACTTCTTCCATTATTTTTATGCTTAGAAAATCTTCCTTCTGAAATCAGATAAATACTCATATAAACTTTTCTGTTTTCATTTTCCATGTTTAACTCTTTGATCCATCTTAAATTTATTAGTGTGTAGTAAAACACAAATATTTTGTTTAAAATTTTTCATGTTGTTAAGTATTATATCCTATATATTTCTCATTAAAACTTATTTCGAATTTCTTAAAAGTTAGGTATATTGACAAACAGAAAAGCTCCAGGGTCTTTTTAAAGATATATATATATGGTGATTTTAAGGATTGGGCTTCATCTAAAAGATGTAAATTTGTTTTTCAGGTTGAATTTAGTGAAGAGCCCACTGTTGTAAAATTCCTGTGATAAGAGAGCTCCTTTTTTAGTCTGGCCCAATCAGGAGACAGAAATCACCCGGTTATTTAAACAAGGAAAGTTAACATAAAGAATTTATAAGCAGTCATAGGGGAGTAACAAGGAAGGACAAACTTGGAATGGGAGTTCAGGCCTTGATGAAGAACATATGGTTACAGCCCATTGGATGGAGGATAATTTTGCTGGTTTTCCCAGGGCAAACCTGATCTACAGTCACTGGGCAAGCAGGAATAACCTTCTGAGGTGCTGGTAAACCAAGGCCGCTAGGCAGGTTTGCAGAGGGAGTCAGGCATGCCACTGTAGGCACTCTTGGAACCAGGAGCTGAAGAGACATTCCTCTGCAGGAGTCTAGTACACTTTTATGTACAACTTGGACCAGAACAGCTCAAGGCAGCTAAATGGCACAAAGGTAGGGTAGCCAGCTACTTAGGACACTAGCCCTATAGGAACCCTGATAGGCGCATGCTTGGAGCTGGGCAGAGGATTGTGGGAACAGCAACCTGTATCAGGTCACCTCTGAGCTACTTTGTCGTGAAAAGTTAGTGGTAATCCCTGCTAGGTCACTAGTGTGTGCACTTCTGGAAGCTGAGGAGAGGGTACGTGGAGCACTGACCTAGGCTGAGGCACAGGACCTGTGCTTTTTGGAACTCCTGGCCATACCACTGCTTCCTGAGTCAAAAGCTGGAAAAAAATGCATAGTGACCAAATGGAGAAATTGTACTGGAGGCACTTAGCAGTGGAGAAAACTGGGCTGGCCAAGCACTGGAGTTAAAAATAATAATAAAAAATTTTAAAAGCACGCTCTTTAAGATAGTGGTTGGCAAACTTATTTTGCAAAGGGCCAGATGTAAATATTTTGAGCTTTGTGGGCCAAGAGACAAATTGAGTATGTTATGTAGGTACTTATATAACAGGAGATAAAACTCCTGTCTTGCCTGCCCTATTTGTCAACCAAGAAGTATAGCCAGACTAAAAGACTACACAAATGGGAGAAATCCTGTTCCATGTGGTTCTGCCTCTCCACTGGCAACTCTTCCATGGTACACTGTGCCTGTGCAGATGCATTAGTCCTCTGTCCTTGGAGCGCCTCAGGGTCACGGTACTCTGCCCTGATTTAAAGACTGGGAGCAGATACTCTTGTGAATGCTTGTAGATACTCTTGACTCAGAGCTGTGATTATGGGGATGAACTTCCCCCTGCTCTATAATAGAGAGAGATGAAGGGAGGAGGGTCAACCTTAGAGAAAGAGAAACCTAGGACAGTATTGCAGCTAAGAATTCAGGCCTTAGAATTAAGTAGACTTTGAATCCAATTAGAATTAAGTAAGGTTTAAATCCAAACCATACCACTTATGCTGTGTAACCACTTACAGTTGTGTCATTATTATGGTATCTGTCCTTCACACCTTGGCCCTATGCCACCTTTCCAGTTTCATCTCCTGCCACTTCCTTTCTCTTTGTCTACTCTCCCCCCACCACCTAACACTTGTGTTTTAACCAGATGGAACTACCTGGGAGCTTGTTAAAAGGTAAAACCCCTGGCCCCATCCCAAACTTAATTATTGGAATTTGCACTTTATGAAATGCGCATAAACGTTTAAGAAGCACAGGTCTAAGCTACTTCCTGGAACTTTGATTTCTGGAAGAAACTATGTCACAGTCCACCTTGTAACTGCTGAGCATATGTGAATGTCCTCTGGATAAGTATGATATGCTTTGCAATTTTAAGTATTCTATGAATAATTCTTTGAGTTATTCCCAAACTAAGCTGTGTCCAAAATAAGAGGTCCTTAAGCAACTAGCTTCCTTGATCCCTTCATTCCCAGCCCTTTGAAATTCATCTTGCTTCTTTCTCCTGTTTTTCTGGGAGTTACTATCTGAATCCAGAGAGAGTCTCCTAACCAGAGAGGAGCTTAAGCAAACTCAATCAAATGCTTGCTGTGTATAATGAAAGATTGTGTTAGGTACAGCATGGACATAGAAATTCAAAGACTATCTGGTTCTCAGGGACCTTTTTATTTAGTTGGAAAGACATAAATGATCAGAGTAAAATAATTTAATGCCTTATATTTGGGTAGGCTTTTGTCGCCTACCATCACCTTCTCTGAACCTTTGCAATAATTCTGTGATGTTGGTAGGAAGGGATTATTAACTTTAAAATAAATATATAAGAAATCAGATTCAAAGATATTAAGGGATTTATCAATGTCATATGACTGTTAAAGAGCTAGAATATGTATCCATGTCTTCTAGCTCCAAGTCTGTTTTTTCCTTTTTTTAAGTATTGTGCCACATTGTGCCCTTTAATACCAAATTAATTTAAAATAAAGAAAAAGCAGTATAGGATTGCAAAAGTAATTGTAATAGGAGAGAAATCATTTGACTGAAAGAGTCTGAGCAGGCTTCAGTAAAGACAGGATTTAGCAGGACTTTGAACTATGAGCAGGATTTGTCTGGGCAGAAAAGGGGGACAGGCAATCCAAGAAGAGGAACTAGAGGGAGAACAGCACAAAGTCTGTTCAAAGAATGATTAGACCTGTGTTCTTAGGCTTTTTGGAATCTGTTCCAGTCCAACTGAATGAGGCATCTGAACTTCCTAGGTGGAAATTATTGTTTAGTGTCGAGGAACCACAGTAGTTTTTTCCTTTGCTTCATTCTCTTGCACAAAATCCACGGAGCAGAGGGTCATAGAGACATGACTACAGATATTTAACTAGTGGAACCTAAAGGTGGGTGTTTCTAGACTGGGTTGTGTTTTATAGAATACCACATTTACTTTTTAAAGGCATTGTTTGACTTGTTTTGGATAGTTGGGAAGAGCATCTCTCACCTTAGGGAAATGTGGGTAGATGGTATGTATACATACACTACTTTTCATAGAAAACTAGTGAACTTCAAAAAGTGATTGAGATCAAGATCAATGATAAGTGTGAGCATAAGAGCAGGGAACAACAAAACCCTGAAGATTATAAAGTGATTCTTCAAGATGAATAGGTGTGGAATATCTGGATTGGTTTAAACCTAGAAGGAAGTGGCCTGATAGGTTATTAAAAGCTTGAAAGAAAGAGAGAGAGAGAGAGAGAGAAAGAGAGAAAGAAAGAAAGAAAGAAAGAAAAGAAAGGAGGGAGGGAGGGAGGGAGGGAGAGAGAGAGCGAGAGAGAGAGAGAGAGAGAAAGAGAGAAAGAAAGAAAGAAAGAAAGAAAAGAAAGGAGGGAGGGAGGGAGGGAGGGAGAGAGAGAGCGAGAGAGAGAGAGAGAGAGAAAGAGAGAAAGAAAGAAAGAAAGAAAGAAAAGAAAGGAGGGAGGGAGGGAGGGAGGGAGAGAGAGAGCGAGAGAGAGAGAGAGAGAGAAAGAGAGAAAGAAAGAAAGAAAGAAAGAAAAGAAAGGAGGGAGGGAGGGAGGGAGGGAGAGAGAGAGCGAGAGAGAGAGAGAGAGAGAAAGAGAGAAAGAAAGAAAGAAAGAAAGAAAAGAAAGGAGGGAGGGAGGGAGGGAGGGAGAGAGAGAGCGAGAGAGAGAGAGAGAGAGAAAGAGAGAAAGAAAGAAAGAAAGAAAGAAAAGAAAGGAGGGAGGGAGGGAGGGAGGGAGAGAGAGAGCGAGAGAGAGAGAGAGAGAGAAAGAGAGAAAGAAAGAAAGAAAGAAAGAAAAGAAAGGAGGGAGGGAGGGAGGGAGGGAGAGAGAGAGCGAGAGAGAGAGAGAGAGAGAAAGAGAGAAAGAAAGAAAGAAAGAAAGAAAAGAAAGGAGGGAGGGAGGGAGGGAGGGAGAGAGAGAGCGAGAGAGAGAGAGAGAGAGAAAGAAAAGAAAAAAGAAAAGGCACCTACCACGGTAGGGTCTGTCAGCCCTCTTACTAGGACCTCGGCTAGGGCCCCCTTTGTGACGTGACATAGCCTTAGCTTATTTATTCGTGGGCGAGGCCCCAACCCAGCGGGCCCCGCAGAGGGCGGAGCGGGGCCATGGCTGAGGAAGCCAAAGTGAGTGGCGAATCCCAAGACACTGAAGTTAAGATCCAGCAGCCCGCTGAAAAAATCTTCGGGGGACCGCCGAGGCGGAGCCCCCGCTCCGTGCTCAAAGTGTCCCAGCTGTTGCTCAGAGCTATCGCCTTGCACAAAGGGCTGACTCTGGCCACCCTCAAGAAGGAGCTGGGAAATGCTGGCTACCAAGTGCGCAGGAAGTGTGTCCGCCACTCTGGTGAAGCGCCTAAGTCTGATATTAAGGGCACACTCCTCCGGGTCAGCGGAAGCAACGCCGCCGGCTATTTCAGGGTCTGGAAGATTCCGAAGCCGAAGAGAAAGCCAGGACGCCCAAGGTTGGAGGAGTGCGCCCGTTCCTCGAGGGGGACCTCTGCAGGGCCACGGGGCTCACGGAAGCCCCGCGTGCGTCGGAGGGTGGCCAAGAAGGCCAAGGAAGTATGGAGACGGAGCACGAGGGGCAATGGCACCGTGAGGAGAAGGCCCAGAGCCAAGGACCCGGTGCGTTCCAGAGCCAAGGAGGAAAAGAGGGCCAAGGGAATGGACGTAGGGAGAGGACGTACCTTGAAGGAAAACAGGCCTAGGACCCGAGAGGAGAAGAGGTCAAGGGAAGAAAAGAAGCATGACCCTGAGAAGCCGGTGAAACGGAGCATCCAGAGGTCAATCTCAGTTAAAATTGACCCAAGGCCTGCTCGCACAAAGACTTCCACTAAATCTGAAAGTCCTCGGAGTGCAGCAGCCGGGAATCTGTAGTGTGGGAGCAGTTTCCCTTCCTCCAGGCACACAGATGCCTTTCCCTATAAGGCTCCAATTAGAGCAGCTCTCACACTCGTTGAAATGAACAAACTATTCACAAAGCCTTTCCGCCACTGCATTGTATCTGTTTCTTCTTTGCTGCACCTGGAAACGGGGTAGGAGGTGTTGAGGTGAGGCCTGTAGCAGGGGCATGAGGGATGAAGAGAGAAAAAGGAGTTGAAATTCTATTCCTGCTACAGAACCCAGGAGAATGCCTTTGAGAAGGAAAGAAGAAAACCAGCAATTTCATGGGATTAGACAGAGTGGTGAATTAACGTTAGACACTCTTACAAATCCAAACTGAGTTTTGGGGAGAAGGGCATGTAAGGACTGAAGTGGGGGGTATCATTTGGGGCAGGAGAAGAGTAGACAGCCTCTGAGAGGTCACTACCCCTGACCCAAAGTGTTTTTACCTGAAATTCCTTTTAGGAAAAAGCCCCTGCCCCCAGAGTTGATTGTAATGGGTTTGCAGTTTTTGCCCTGACTTGATCATCTTAAAAATATGTTTTAGGGGGTGGCTCCATAGTGTAGTGGTTAGCACATCTGTTTTACATGTAGAAGATCCTGGGTTTGCACCCCAGGTGGAGCCACGGACCATACCCCGGGTGCGCCAGGCCCTCCGGGTGTGTGGAGAGTGCACCAGAGTGCACCAAGAGTGCGCTGAATGCTCCAAGTGCGCAGGGGGCACCAGGCCCCTGGTGCATGCTGCCAGCATGTGGGAGGAGACACCCCACCTTCGGAAATCCAGTTCTTAAGGGGAAACAGCAACAGCCATAGGTCAGGGGTGGAAGTGTGTGTTGCCACAGGGAATTAAGGAGGGGAAAATATATATATATATTTTGTTAATCCTCCGTTAAATGAGTGTGTGAAGCATCTAGCACAGGGTTTGCTTGGCACAGGGTACGTGCTCATCACTGAGAGTTAAATGAGTATGAATAATTTTTAATAGAGTAATAATGTGCTATAGCAGAAAAATTACAGGATCAGTACTTAACAAGACCAGGATTCTAGTCAAAATTCTGCCACTCTGACCTTAGCTATCATAACTTAACCATTCCTCGTCTTGGTTTCCTTCTCTGTAAAAAAGTTGGGATTGGGCTAGGATGACTTTAGGTGATTTTAAGTGTCAGTAAAATGATAAGAGGGACTTAAATATGACATAGTGACAAAATTCAATAAGGGAATTATCAACTGGGAAAGTAGCAACCCTTAGAGAATATTATGATTTACAGAATGTATATCAGATATATAAGGAGATATGGAAGGTTAGATAATGAATAGCTGGTTCTTTTGCTTTAACAACATGTATTGAGCACTGTAGACCAAATATGGAGCAAATGTATGATTCCTTTCCTGAATGCAGGGGTTAAGAACAGCGTGGGAGTAGTTCTCATGGGCCATGACAGGACACAGAAATGGTTCCTAGGGAGCGAAACAGTAACTGATTCAGGGAAATGACTTGCTGTTTCCAGCTGAAACCAAAGGAGTGGGGAGAAGGGAAGCACCTAGGAGGTGCTTTTTATTCTTGAAAAGAGGTGAGAGTGAAGGTGGAGGTGGGAAGATGTTAAAACGTGAACTTTTGCATAATACAGCTGACCAAGCTTTTCCGAGGAGAGTCTGATAATTTCTACAAAGAGGAACAGGGAATGTGTACTTAAAAAAAAACAAGTGATGCTAATATTTCACGCTTTCATAAATGAGAATCACTGCTTTAAGCTTATGCAAAGCTAAGTAACAGCAAATCTATAGATGATTTGAACTTTGAAATTTCCCTCTGCTTTAATTAGGTTTATTGTGCTCTTGAATTATGAGTAGCAGAATGAAGTAAACAGAATCAATAATCAGAATAGGGAGCCATCCGAAAAGAGGCAGTGAGAAACACTATTGCCCCTTTATAGTCTCGGGTATTTTTACCTAAAGAACGGATGGTCTAGAATTAGAAAGCCCTTTCCCTAAGACAGCATGGAAAGGACATTGGCAACAATTTGCTTTCTAGATTTCCTAAGACTCATCCTACTTCTTTTTGTATTATGATGATTTCTTCATGTAAGTGAACTTCTTTCATTCACTAGTAAATTTATCAAGCTTATAGTGTCAGACCCTGACCTGATATAGTTAACAATGATCATTTCAGTTTGTTTTTTCTTTGCTAAGCTTTAGGGTGGTCATACTCCTATGCAACAGAAGAAATAACTTTAACTCATTGGTACGCTATCCACATTATCCAGATCATAATCCTAGCTGGGTACTTCTATGGAAGGAATTCCCAAGAAAAGCTAATCTCATCCCTAGTATTCACTATGACTAAGTGCCTGCAAAATGCTGGGCCCTTTGCTGAGAATAAAGATGGATAAAACATAATCCCCACTTTTCATTGCTCACATTCTAGTGGTGTATTTGGATATTTAATTTAAATCAGAGCAAATGGAACATCCATGACCTCAATTCTTTGTTTTCCTTTTATCTCAGCTGCCTAGTGCAATGATGATCATTGAATTGTTAGACTTTAGAGGGCATCTAATGAAACTTAGATGTCCCCAGCATCGAACATTCAATGGCTGTTGAAAAAACATAATAGAAATACAAATGACCTTTGAAAATATGAAAAAGGTGCAATATTACTCATAAAAGAAATGCACATTAAAACAATAAGATAGCATTTTTAATCCAAAATGTTTGAGAACCTACTCCATTGGTGAGGCTGTGGGGAAAAGGGCACTCACATGGTAGTGGGAGTGTAAATCTCTGCCACCCCAATGGAGGGAATTTGGCTTGCCAAATTGCAAATGCAAATATCCTTTGACCCAGCAGAACTACTTTTAGGAATTTATCTTTTAGATATGTCCTAGGTATTTAGTGCAATAACAAAAAAAAAAAAAAAAAAAAAAAAAAACAAAAAAACTAAAAATCAACATAGGTTTTT